TTTTTCAAAAAAAAAAAACAAGTAAAAGGAATCAAGAGTCGGCATTGTCATTGATTCAGGTCTAATTGTACACTTTTTATCCCCGATTCTCTTTGACATTTGTTGCAATTGAACTCCAAAAAGGTTGGTTTTACGCGAGGTTGCTTGTGTTCTAGTGTGTTTCAGATACTAACAGGTAAAACCAAACCCGGAGTCGAAAGTTGGAAGAAAATGAGCAAAGACCGGGCAAAGAGGTGGAGACAACCGCTATGCACGACCAGACGTTGGAGTTCACGTTCTTACAGTACCGTGAACTGGAACCATGAACCGTGAACCGAGGAGCAAACAGTGGGGTTTTCAGGTTATTGACGCCCAGGCAGTTCACTGACCGTGAACCCGAGAAAATGAAGCGGTGCATTTTGGTTTCAGCACTGAGTTCACGGACGCGTTTCAATGTTCGCGTTCGTGTACTCAGGCCGTGAACTGGGCGCGATCTCCACTTAAAAGGAAACCTGAAAGGAAGAAGAGGGGGAGAGACCTAGATTGAGAAACTTCTCCTTCTTCAGATTTTAGAGTGAGAAAGTGACGAACCAACGAAGAGGAAAAGCTAGGGTTTCTTCTCCAAGCAATTTCTTCCCGAAAGGAGGATTTCTTCAGCACAAGGAGCAAGGATTGGTGACTCGCACGAAACTACACCACAATAAAACCTCAATTAGAGCCCAAGTTTCTAAACTATGATAGGGCAAGTATTTAGATATCGACCCGGGCCGGTCCGTCTACACCTACTTCAGTTGTTGAAATCATTATCTAGCAACAAAACTTTGGTTTTAAAGGATTGCTACTTGAAATAAAAGAAAGCAAAGGTGATTGTGTTTGAAAACTCGTTTGTGAGAAAGTCACTCGGGTGTCGCTTCCCCCTAACCGCTACCATGCTGTGTGGATTGGAACGATTGCCTTGGGCACCTTAATCGTGAACCGCAGAGGAATGCATATGTGGTCGGAGACCACACTCTCAATTGCTAAACCGAGGTAAGGATGAAAGGCCGTGTCACTCAACCCTCTCGGTTTAGACAATCGGTAATTGAATTACTTCCTCACAACAACTCTAAGGTCGGACGGTTTAGTCACAATTAATCGACTTGCTTAACTCAATATTGAGGGTCGCTCTAACTTAACCTAGTTTAGGTGGCTTAGAAAGCGGAAGGAAAACCATTGAGTCTCCCTTGGAAGGGGGATTTTCCTCTCTAAGCTAGGTCAAGGTGTCAAATTAGATTACTAGCACCTAAATGCACAAACCTAGGGGTGCTAAGCACAATTATGCACAATCCTTAGGTTGCTAAGCACCTAAATGCACAAACCTAAGGATGTTAAGCACAAAACATGCACAACCCCTAGATTGCTAAGCACAAGTATGCACAATCATGATAAATAATGCCTCAATCATTGAATTAAACAGTACCCAATGATAATCATCCAAAATACATATAAGAAAACTACATGGTAGAGTTAGGGTTTCACTGCACCCCAGTGAAAGGAGGTCTACTCCATGCTAGAAGTGGGAAAAACAAAAGGGGAAAAGGTGGAAACCATCATTGAGGATGCTCCCAGTCTCCTTGACCCTTGAGTTGTGCTTTCCTTGGGGGAAATCTTCCCAAAATCTGCCTTGAAGCCAAACCCTAACCTTCTTCTTCCCTTTGGTTCTGTTTCTCTCACTAGAATGCTGAAGAAGGTGTTTCACACAAAAGTGGGCTCTACCCTCTCTCCTCCTTTCAACTCATCTTTTAAACCCGGGATGAGCTGAGTTCACGGCTGTGAACCATGAAACGCGTCCGTGAACTCCAGACATGCGCCAAAACGCGCCGCATTACTCATGTCAGTTCACTGTCTTATTGACCATGAACTCACCTTGCGTCAGTAACCTTCACATTGGCTCTGGATGCCTCGTGATTCACGGTCAACTCCTCTTCTTCACGGTCTTGCATGACCGTGAACTCCCTCAGTTACCCGTGAACTGGCTCTTTTTTACCTCTTCTCCCGGTTTTAGATCATTTTCGCAAATCTTTCGACTCCGAGGCTGGTTTCACTTGTCAAATCCTGAAACACACTCAAACACGAAAAACCTAGCGTAAAACCAGCCTTTTAGGAGCGAATTTAGCACAAACATCTAAGTAAAATGTGGGCAAAACATGTGCAATTAGACACGAATCAATTGCATCTTCTTGGTGGGCTCCCTTTCCCTCTCTTGTGTGTCCCTTCTCCTAGCATTGAGTAGTCCCTTCTTTCACTTGGGTGTTTGTAAACCCTAGCTACAATTATGTGAATGCTTGTATGAATTGAATGTTTTGTGTGTGGTTGTGTTTTAATGTGAATGTGGAGGTATTATTCAAAAATGATTGTGTTGTGTGAAAGCCTATCAATCTGATTGTCATTCTAACATAGCTTAAAGAGGAGACCTCCTTAGATTAGGAGGTTCATTGGGTGTTCTTGGGCATTTCATGCCTCCTAGGCTAGTTTAGAGAGGAAACCTCCTTAGGTTAAGAGACTCAATTTGAGATGGGTGTTCTTGGGCATGCATTTCATGCCTCCTAGGATAGTTTAGAGAGGATACCTCCTTTACCCAAGAGACTCGGTTTCCTTGGGCATTCAATGCCTCCTAAACTAGTTTAGAGAGAACCCTCCTTAACCTAAGAGGCTCATTCGAGATGGGTTTCCTTGGGCACTCAATGCCTCCTAATCTAGTTTAGAGAGAACCCTCCTTAACTTAAGAGGCTCTATTAGAGATGGGTTAGTTAAAGGGCAAACCTCCTAATTCACATTAGCACTTAGGGTTTGGTTGTGGGTGGCCGTCCGAACTCCAATTCGAGGGTGAAGTATAACCATTCATTAGTTGATAGGTTGAGAGAGTCACATTAGTGGCTTGGATCGTATCCCATTCCTCAACCTAGAGGCTAAGAGGGTAGCTTCGGTTGCTTGTTAGACTTCCCTACGGTTTATGACCCCCCCCCCCCCTAACCACACACGATCGTTCGATTCTTCAAGTCATAATTGTTAGATAGGGGTAGCAACACCCGGGTGAAGCTTTCTCAACTAGAGTCAAAATCCATTTTACAAGAAATTTAGTTTTAGACCTTTGTTTTCACCAAAACCAATCTGCTAGATAATGTTTCAAACAGTCGAAGTAGCGATGCATGAACCGGCCCGTGTCGATATTTAAACATACTTACCCTATATTGCATCCATCTAAGGTTTATACTTCACCTTAGGTGGGATTTTATTGTAATAGTCAGAGCGAGTTAGTCACTTTGAACAGAAGCCGATTCATTACTTCCATAATTATATGACAAATTAAAGGCTCAATCATAGCTAGGGGTGGGCATCGGTGCGGTTCGCACCGCAACGATATAAACCGAACCATACCGCATCTTAATTGGACGCACCGCATGTTCAACCGCTAAGTTATCGGTGCGGTTAAACCAAACCGCATATATTAGCGGTTAAACCAAAAACCGCATATATTAGCGGTTTGGCGCGGTTTAGACCGCGTCGCTCATTTTTACCGCAATTCATTATGATTTGTACGACGAATCCAATACAAAGCATACCAAAATCAAGAACGGAATCAAGAATTGCTACTGCTGGAGCTGGTGCACTGTTCGCGTAGCCGTCAAACAGAGCATGCCAAAAATCAAGAACTTCTACTACTGGAGCTGGTGACTCTGTTTTTCTGCCACCAAAACAGAGCATGCCAAGTTTCTCGTTAGCTCTGTATCGGGCATGTGGTGGTAATTAAGATGCGGTGACTCTGCTGGAGCTAAATTCGTTGTAGTCTTCTGATTCCTTCCAATAATCAGTTTCCATATTTCACCTCTATCACTCTATGAAGTTAAAATACCATCCCATTAATAGCATCAGTATGCATAGTTTCCATCTTTCACCTGGCTAATTAAGGAATACAAACTTATATGAAGTTACAATCCCATTAATAGCATCAGTACGCCAAAGCACCGAAGCTCCGAGAATAGGATAGATCGAGATGCCTTCGATCCTTGAAATCTCCCGCCTCTTGGTGTTGTGCGATGTCGAGAGAGACGAGAAGCTGGGGAAGACCGAATGCGGCGGAAAGAATGCTCGGATCTGGTGCCGCCGGAGAGAAGATGGCGTCGTCGCGGGGAGGATAGCTCGTGTGTTGTGTGCTGAGAAAAGGTGTCTGGGTGATGGATCTCTACATATCTACTCGACTGGTGATGGGCGTATTAAGAATTAACGGTTTGCGGTTTTGAACCGCAACCGCGCGGTTTCGGTCAATCCAAACCGCGAACCACCAACCACTTAACGATTCGACCGCAGATGAAACCGTTAGTTTAACGGTGCGGTTTGGATTGACCGCTTATCCAAACCGCGAACCACCAACCACTTAACGATTCGACCGCAGATGAAACCGTTAGTTTAACGGTGCGGTTTGGATTGACCGCATAAGCGGTTTGGAGTGGTTTGGTCAAACCAATGCCCACCCCTAATCACAGCCAATCTGGCACCAGCCCTAATAGGGTAATTAACCTTGTTTTTAAGGTTTAAACAAAGGGCATTAATTGTAGAGAATAGGGGCCTTAATGCATGCAGTCTAGACCGATTGTTGCCGACCACTTGGGGAATCACCGACTATAGTCAGGGGCAAGTCTTAAAAACCCAGCCTTAATTTCCACCATCTGATTTTTTGCGCCGCTGGTATATCAGTGGGTTACTGTTTTAAAATGGAACATAGCAGATGACCACCATTGTAATGAGCTGAGAAGAGGAACTTGTTGACTTTACTTGCATCACGAGAAAATGTCATGGTTAGCCAGGTATATCACCAAAAACTCTCAAGCTCAACCACATTGAATAGCATTAATTAAATTTCGGTTTGATTTAATTCGGTTTTGATTCGGTTCGAGTTTACGAACCGGTTGCCCACCCCTAGGTTGATTCGTCGTCCATGAAGGATTTTGTCCCTTGTTAGCGGCTTCATTTCCTAAAAAGCTTCTTGTTGTTGCGAGTTAGTTTAGCATTATAGTTATATACGTCTTTAAAACAACATCAGGTAGACAGGTACTCACAATCCAAGGGTAAGTAGCCCATGTACAAATGAGCTAATAAAGCTCATTAAAATTTGCCTGATACGAACTAAAGAAGCCCTTCTTAAATAATTGACTTAAGGACTACATCCGAACCGTCACATACATCTAAGCCGCGAACAGACAACAAAAAACAAATGGTCTCCCTGTTCAGAGAGCAGATATGAACTTCTGTATCCTTGATTGTGCTCGCTCCTTTTCTTCTGGTCCGTCCAAGTCACCAATGTTGTCGTGATACTCCTGCCAGAAATTGCAAACTCTATCAGGATTAATGTGAACAATGATCACAAACATCAGCAACATATCACTAAGCAGCACCACAACGGATTTTTTTCCAGTAAATATGATCTCTTTTGTATGTTAGCATATAAGAATGAAGAAGAAGAATAGCCCAAGTACAGTTCTTCCGGATTCACATACGTCCACTATGGACACCTAGGCTACATGGCTCACATATCTACAAGAGGAAGTCAAGTTTACTGGCAGAGTGTTAGAAACCTAATTCTAGGGTTCTAACGGTTGGATTGATGAGATTGGGAATTGATAGATATTTAGGGATTGAGATAGGATTGTGGAAGAACAGAATTGGGGATTAGGAATTTAGAAGAGGAAATTGGGGATCGAGGAGAAGAATGGCCGACGGCCTAGGGATAGGTGACGAATTTGAGAGAGATTAGGGTTTAGGATACTTTTCTGAATAATTGTTCTTGCTTGATTCTGAATAAAACGCAAAGTACATATTTATAACGAAAGATAAGAAAACCTAATACTAAACCTAATTCTACTAAAAGACTACTAACCATATTTAATAAAACCTAATAATAATGATAATATAGAAACTCGTTTTCCTTAGAAAACGTGTTTCTAACATCCCATCCCCCTTGAGACCAACCTTGCCCTCAAGGTTGATCGACTCAACCCACTTCTTCTTGACCTTCCGCTTTCTTCGTTTCCAGTTGTGCTCAATTTCATGAATGAACTCTTCTTGCAAAACTCCAACTATCCTCGAATCTTCTTCACCCACGTGACATATGTCACCTTCATCATAGCCGAACAATTCGCCCTCTTCGAAATTCACAAAATAAGAATTGGGAATTTGTTCTTCATTATGCTCCTCCGCCACCCTGAAATCTTCAAATAACAACTCCATCGAATCCACCATAAGCATGGTGGTGAAAACAAGTGGGGTTGGATTAAACTTCCTTGAAAACCCACCTAACCCAATGAGCCCACTGTCCTCTTCCTCAACCATTGGGTCCTTAGATTTCTGCCCAACCCAACACAAGAGGAAGCTTCTCAAGCTGCTCTCGGTCAGCCCAATAGGCGCACTTCTCAGTCTGTCCCGCTCGCCTTCTTGGCTCAAACAGAGTTGGCCCGTTGTCAAATTCGGCCCATGGCCAAACCCAATAGGGTAAGCAACCACCCCTTGGCCCACTCCCCTTTGCTGCTGTTGGCCTTCGTGGGGAGGAAGGAGGCGCCGCAGCTCGCACGAGAGCAAGTGAGCACCGCCGCCTTCCCTCTTCGTCGGCTTGCTCGGCGGCGAAGGACTTCTCCGGCAAAAACTCCAACCGAGTTTCGACGTTTCTACCCCGTCGACCGATGTCAGGAACGACACCAACTCCGGTGGCCTGTTCTCCATCTCGTCTTCCTCCTCCAGCGGCGAATAACCCTCCAGGTGATGATCCCAGCTCGATTCAGGCCTCTTCACCTCGACCTTCGCCCCCGGCTCCATCTCGTTCTCCGACGGCGGCTCGGCTTCTAACTCCATCAACTATGTCGGCGGTGATCCCCAAACTCCGCGACCAGGCGGCGAAACCTCTCCGACCTTATGCTCCGTTGTCTGCTCTTCGTCGGTCGTCGTCGCGGCTGGAGCCACCCTCCCTCGCGCGACGAGGATTGTCGCGCGGTCTTTCTGCTCTGACGTTTCGTCAATCGGCAGCTCCCGCCTCGCCCCTATCTCCTGCGACGAGTCTTCGATCCAACGACCAGGAGTTGACCCCGTCGTCTCCACATCCTTATCTCGCCTGGCGCCAGACAGCTCGACCGCCGGCTCTTCGGGCAGCCAACGGCGGCCGATGCGACGGGCTCTGTCCCGCAATTCTGCCCACGACAGGTTCGAGAGCTTTGAAGAGCTCATCGTCGAACCAGTTGTAGAAATCGTCCCCGGTTGAGAGTTGTGGTGAACTCAATTCTCGAAACCGGGCTCTGATACCAAATGTTAGAAACCTAATTCTAGGGTTCTAACGGTTGGATTGATGAGATTGGGAATTGATAGATATTTAGGGATTGAGATAGGATTGTGGAAGAACAGAATTGGGGATTAGGAATTTAGAAGAGGAAATTGGGGATCGAGGAGAAGAATGGCCGACGGCCTAGGGATAGGTGACGAATTTGAGAGAGATTAGGGTTTAGGATACTTTTCTGAATAATTGTTCTTGCTTGATTCTGAATAAAACGCAAAGTACATATTTATAACGAAAGATAAGAAAACCTAATACTAAACCTAATTCTACTAAAAGACTACTAACCATATTTAATAAAACCTAATAATAATGATAATATAGAAACTCGTTTTCCTTAGAAAACGTGTTTCTAACATCCCATCCCCCTTGAGACCAACCTTGCCCTCAAGGTTGATCGACTCAACCCACTTCTTCTTGACCTTCCGCTTTCTTCGTTTCCAGTTGTGCTCAATTTCATGAATGAACTCTTCTCGCACAACTCCAACTATCCTCGAATCTCCTTCACCCACGTGACATATGTCATCTTCATCATAGCCGAACAATTCGCCCTCTTCGAAATTCACAAAATAAGAATTGGGAAATTGTTCTTCATTATGCTCCTCCGCCACCCTGAAATCTTCAAATAACAACTCCATCGAATCCACCATAAGCATGGTGGTGAAAACAAGTGGGCGTGGATTAAGCTTCCTTGAAAACCCACCTAACCCAATGAGCCCACTGTCCTCTTCCTCAACCATTGGGCCCTTAGATTTCGGCCCAACCCAACACAAGAGGAAGCTTCTCAAGCTGCTCTCGGTCAGCCCAATAGGCGCACTTCTCAGTCTGTCCCGCTGGCCTTCTTGGCTCAAACAGAGTTGGCCCGTTGTCAAATCCGGCCCATGGCCAAACCCAATAGGGTAAGCAACCACCCCTTGGCCCACTCCCCTTTGCTGCTGTTGGCCTTCGTGGGGAGGAAGGAGGCGCCGCAGCTCGTACGAGAGCAAGTGAGCACCGCCGCCTTCCCTCTTCGTCGGCTTGCTCGGCGGCGAAGGACTTCTCCGGCGAAAACTCCAACCGGGTTTCGACGTTTCTACCCCGTCGACCGATGCCAGGAACGACACCAACTCCGATGGCCTGTTCGCCATCTCGTCTTCCTCCTCCAGCGGCGAATAACCCTCCAGGTGATGATCCCAGCTCGATTCAGGCCTCTTCACCTCGACCTTCGCCCCCGGCTCCATCTCGTTCTCCGACGGCGGCTCGGCTTCTAACTCCATCAACTCTGTTGGCGGCGATCCCCGAACTCCGCGACCAGGCGGCGAAACCTCTCCGACCTTATGCTCCGTTGTCTGCTCTTCGTCGGTCGTCGTCGCGGCTGGAGCCACCCTCCCTCGCGCGACGAGGATTGTCGCGCGGTCTTTCTGCTCTGACGTTTCGTCAATCGGCAGCTCCCGCCTCGCCCCTATCTCCTGCGACGAGTCTTCGATCCAACGACCAGGAGTTGACCCCGTCGTCTCCACATCCTTATCTCGCCTGGCGCCAGACAGCTCGACCGCCGGCTCTTCGGGCAGCCAACGGCGGCCGATGCGACGGGCTCTGTCCCGCAATTCTGCCCACGACAGGTTCGAGAGCTTTGAAGAGCTCATCGTCGAACCAGTTGTAGAAATCGTCCCCGGTTGAGAGTTGTGGTGAACTCAATTCTCGAAACCGGGCTCTGATACCAAATGTTAGAAACCTAATTCTAGGGTTCTAACGGTTGGATTGATGAGATTGGGAATTGATAGATATTTAGGGATTGAGATAGGATTGTGGAAGAACAGAATTGGGGATTAGGAATTTAGAAGAGGAAATTGGGGATCGAGGAGAAGAATGGCCGACGGCCTAGGGATAGGTGACGAATTTGAGAGAGATTAGGGTTTAGGATACTTTTCTGAATAATTGTTCTTGCTTGATTCTGAATAAAACGCAAAGTACATATTTATAACGAAAGATAAGAAAACCTAATACTAAACCTAATTCTACTAAAAGACTACTAACCATATTTAATAAAACCTAATAATAATGATAATATAGAAACTCGTTTTCCTTCGAAAACGTGTTTCTAACACAGAGTCTAAGGATACGTGCAATATTTGATTAAGCACATACCTGAAGTACATCTTTGACATCCTTCTTGCTGAGCTTGTGCTGTTTCAGTAGTAGTTCAATTCTTGCCCTCATCCCTTGGTGCCTAAAAACAGTAGTAGCGAGAAGGTCAGCACTAGAAATTGATAAAGTCGAAAGGAAAATTAAAAAACGAACAGCCGAAGACAACTTACTCAGAGCACCAGAGGTGACCTAGAATTATTGCAATCAGCTGCAGGATCACAAAACATAAGGCAATGAGTTTCAGCACTTTACATTAACACTTAACAGTTTCGAAATTTCACATATCTGAAATCTCGAGCAGTATCAGAGTAAATTACATACAAGTATAATGAAAACAAGACTCGAGTTCATACTCATCCTTTTTCTCTTTATCCAACTCTTGGATAAGTATGATCAGTCATACAGCTTTTACACTGGATAAGAACTTAGGATCTTAAATCTTATACATAACAGTTGGAACTATCACTGCTAGTTGATTGATGTTCTAAGGTTTAGGTCTTCAAATGATTGATATTCTTCTTCTGATATCCTAGATATTTTCACTAGGCAAATAACATTTAGTGGAATCAAACTCCTACATGACAACCAACACACCACCTGCCCAAGAAAAGGCTATCCTTTCTCCACATCAATGCAAATACATCGGAAAACCTCAATGACAAATTCTAACCTGAAGGGTATAAAGTCCAAATCCCAGTTTTCTGTTGTATATTTCCTCGTCATCCATCTGTAAAAACACAACTGTTACGTGCTGAACCCATTGAGAAAACCATATATCAGCCACTCGGAAAAAATAAAAAAGCAAAACAAATCCCACAAACCTCTATATCATCCACTTCAAGCTGCTCCATCCTTTTAGTCTCCGATTTTACCCTGTCTGAGTATCTGAATTGAAATTGTCAAATTACCCACATGTCAAGACAGGTAATGGAGCATGGAATTTTTTATACAATCAGGAAAGCTACACAAGAACTCTGGCTGCATCCCTGGGTAACTCAAGTAAGTAGATAATGTGTCTTCTTATTTGAGTTCATGATACCAAGAAAGAAGAACATTGAACTTTAGCGCAAGAACTTAATTTACTTCACAGGTTAAGCACACACATATATTGTTGCAAAAATGGAAAAAGCCCAACAAGGAAAGAAATAAAAGAAGATTAAACAAAGGCTCACCTAATATACAGCTCCATAAGTCGGTCTATTTTCTCACACTCATTCTCCACAAATTTGCTTAGCAATCTTTCCCTCCTAGTGCCTCTCAGAATTCCACCTGGAGAGACAAAGAACCTCAGGAGATTAACAGGTGAACTATAGAAACGGGAAAGGAAAATAAATTCAGAAGATGCTTTTATCTGAGTCCTTGTAGGTTTCCTTCAGCATTTAGAAACAAAGAAGCCACTAGGAGATCCCGAGACATAATATCAGCTTTGGGTCAAATATGCAATTTGGGGTTCCGATAAATTTAGCAGTTAGTTCCATGTTCAACCTCTATAGTTCTCTCAACCAATTGATACCTGTTGGAGGTAGTCATACAGTTCAAGCCAGTCACATTATGTGGTCAAGACATTATTGACAGATCGATTGATTAATTAGTTCGACACGACTGTCAAGAAACACAATGGATAAAAAGAATGGAATGCCGAATGAAGGTTAGTGTTCAAATCGAGAACGCTGAAAATGCAGGAAAATACTGATGTATTTGATTTTACAAGTAGAGCAAGTTGTCCACTTACCAAATAATGATGCCATCAGGGACACAATTCGCTCTTCTAACTCCTCTTGGTAGCTTTCTTTCTTATTCTTCTTGCTCATCGGAATCTAAAAGAGAAGAAAGTGAAACTTTTAGTTCACCCACCACCAAAAACTAAAGAAAACAGAAGTGGCAGACAACATAAACTCGAAAATGAAAGATTAACACCTGCAGATAGAAGGACAAACATAAGGAAAATAGCTAGGCTATGAACACATAATAAGCATATAGACTTGTAATATAAGTATTTGTATTCAATACTTTAGAGCAACCTTTTAGATAGGATACATCAAGAAATTCAGTAAGAAGATTCCTCCTTCCTATCACCCAACTCAGCTACACTTATCCGTCTGTGTCAATCTACCCTATGAACCAAGGGAGTACCTCAAGCAATCAAATCTATATAGTGAAAGTTAGTCACCTTGTATTACCGTGAAATTTGAGCACTTATCAGGACAGCGTTCCTTATTAACTTAGAGATATCATAGCGATGTGAGGTAAGGCATATCAAAAAATACAGCCGAGGCCAGAAGATCAGAGAAGATGAACTTGCCTTACCCATGAAAGCAGAAAATGCTGTCTTCAGACCCAAAACATCAACAAATCGCTCGCATGCAGGCGGATACTTGGTCATTGCAAAATCAAGCGCCCTGATGGCTGAACTGTAAGCAGATTTCTTCTGCTTCATTATGATAATCATCAACTCCACTCCCTCTGCATTAACAAACCTCTCCTTATTCTCCAATGGCATCAGCAAACAACACAAGCAATCAAATAGATTCTCCACCATCTCCTCTTCATCAGAACTCTTGGGATCCTTGGATTTGTACATGGCCACTGCCTGCAACACCATATCCACCCCGTTCATCTGCCCCAGCTTCTTCTGGTTCGCCGTACTATTCTGCAACAAAATCGCCAATATCTCGGAAGCGTACTGCTTGTTGCTATCGAACTCTCTCACTTTGATCTTCCCAAGCAACCACCTGAGCAGTTTCGTCCTCTCGCATACCAATTCCGCCACAGCCGGCTTCACCTCGATCATATTTTCAATCGTCGCAAGCGTAGTGTAGATTGCAGCCATCTCATCAGCATCCGTCTCGGATAACCTCTGCAGATTCTGAACCAAGAGCTCCAACACATTGTTCTCCACAAGCGCATCCACAAGAACCCTGGCTGGCTCGTCGTTGTCCTCCAGAACGTCCTCATCGGTAAGATCCTGCAGCAACTGAACAACGTCGACGGCTATATCGGTGTTGTCGTGCGTGAGAAGGCCCAAAATTGAAGGAATCGTGTTGAGATTGACGAGGTCTGGATACAGCTCCGGGCCGCCGGCGAGCACTCGGAGCTTCTCGAGCTCCAAATGGAGTTCGACCTCAGAATCGGAAAAGCGGTCGGGCTGGTCAGGGTACTTGAGGCGGGCCTCGATGTTCTCCTTGTAGCGGCGCTCGAAGGAGAGAACCAGCTTCTTCAAGGTACGGAGGTCGAGAGCTTCGACGGCACTCTGCGACTTCTCGACGGCTTCCAGGAGACTGAGGTCGACATCGTTGCTGCTATTGTTGCTAGTGCCAGTGATACCGCCGACGTAGTGGTCATCGTTGCCATTGTCAAAGAAATCTGGCGGCGGATGCGACGGAGGAAGGGATGAAGCCTCTCGCTTCCGTTTCGGGTTTTGGCCGCGAGAGCTGGCAGATTCCATGTGGTTACTCTTCGCCTGACTAAAACTTACTTGCTGCTGATGATGCTTCTTCGTACTAGCTCCGTTCAGCTCAGACTCCGTCAATTGGTTCTGCAGGCGATGGAATGTCACGCCGGTAGGGCTTGTGGCGAAGTTTATACCCGTCTCCCCTTGCTTCCTGTCCCTGACTCGAAATTCAATTTCAAGCTCGCGTGACTCGACTCAATCCCACCGCCCAAAGGTATTCTGGGCCAGAGTGGAATTTGACCTGACCCGTTATTGGTTCTAATCGTGATCCCCTTTTGTTTGGGCCGTGGAATTATCTACGGACCCAGTAGAACTTTGGACTATGGACTTAGACCAATACCGCGGTAAAAACTGCGGCGTTGGTGAAGTTGATTATGATTGGATCACGTGTAACTGATGTGATAAGGTTGAATTTGATAGACCGAAGCTCAAAAATTGACCAATAAGAAGTGGCCATAATTGTCAGTTGACCAAACAGACAAAAAGCATTTCGTCTTGGTTTTTCCAAATCTAACCTCCACGAATTAATGACCACGACAACCCAGAGCCCATCGTTGTCTTTCGCGCTCTTCCTCCGGCTGACTGTGAAAGAAACACAACCTTCCAACGAAATTGTCTATCGCGGATTGTTCCGGGTCAAACAACTCCTTGTAAACACTTAAAAGAACCACAACTCGTCTAACACAAGCAAGATTCACACACACAAACTCAAAGTAAAAGCTAGATCAACACCAAACAATCTTTTCAAAATAATGGACCGAAGTTCCCCGGCAACGGAGCCAAAAACTCGACTCGACCCAAATATCACACTAAAATCCCGCCTAAGGCCCAAGTATGAACCTTAAATGGGTGCAATAATATAGGGCAAGTATATATGTTTAAATATCAACTCGGACCGATCCATGTATCCCTACTTCGATTGCTTAAGACTTTATCTAGCGGATTGGTGTTTGTGAAAATTCTACAATCTATAATTAATACGATTCAAAAAGTAAATGGATTGAAACACTTGGTGAGAAATTTCACTCGGGAGTTGATCCCCCTAACTAACTACTATGACCTGTGGAATTGAATGAAACCGTGTGGATGAGGTGATTGTGAATTGTTAGGAGGCGCAACTAGTGATAGATACCACTCTCTCAAGTGCTAGGCCAAGGAATCATTATAGGCTACCAATGTAGCCCTCTTGGCCAAAGCAATTGAGGGTTCACTTACCTTCTCCCTCAAACCGGGGTTTGGGCGGCTTAATCACAACTAACCTAGGTGTTCAATTTGAGTTTAGATATTTGTCCTACATTAACCTAGATAGGAGGCATGGAATGGCCAAGAAAACCCAGCTCGATTTGAGCCTCTTTCAAAAGGGGGTTTCCCTCTAGGCTAGGTTAGAATAGCACAATAGATTGAAAAGCACACACAATGCACAATCACCATGAAAAATACCTCAAATCTCGAATTAAACAACACCCACACATAATTATCCAATCCACACAATCAACTACATGGTAGAAGTTAAGGTTCTACACACCCAAGTGAAAATGTGACTACCCCATACTAGAAGAAAGAAAAACACAAAGGAAATGGAAAAAACCATCATCTGGGATGCTTCAATCCTCCTTTGTACTTGTAGTGATCCTCTTTTGAAGAGAAACTTCCCAAATCTTGACTTGGTGAGAAACCCTAGCTCCTTCTCCCTCTTGGTTCGTTGCTTTCTCTCTCTAGATTTCATGAAGAAGAAGGTTTCTTCCACTCTAGGTCTCCCCTCTTCTTCCCCCTTTCAACTCCCTTTTTATACACTGTCGCGCTCAGTTCATGGTCCCTGTTCACGGCTGTGAGCTAATGGAGCGCAACCGTCAATTACGAACAAAGACGCGCTGTTTCACTTAGTCAGTTCACGGTCTCTGGCTTCAGTTCACGGTCGTGTGACCGTGAACTGATTTTAGTCTAGTGACTTATAGAAACGCTTTGGAACCTGGCCAGTTCACGGTCCATGGCTCTGGTTCACGGTCTTGATGACCATGAACTCTTTGCTTCCTCCGTGAACTTCGGTTGCTTCCGTCCTTTTGTCCGATCTTCGCGCCTTTTCCTCCAACTCTCGACTCCAGAGTTTGTTCCACCTGTTTGAGTCTGAAACACACTGAAATACGGCAAACCTAGCATAAAACTACAACTTTTGGAGCTCAAATGCCAGAGACGCCTAAGGGAAACAGGTATGAATAGTGTACATTTAGACCCGAATTCTTTTTCTGACCTACTAGTTCTTTATTACGAGTACTACTAATCGTACATTATTGTCGTTCTTTTCCTGCGAGAAATTGAGAAAGTGTAGTTTAACTAGCCAACCGCCTTGAAAATTTTTTCTTTTCTTTTTTTGGGGTTCCCTAACCTGTGTCGGAGGACTTTGTTGATCTTCTCCAACATCTTTCTCCAATTTAGAGAAACTTTGCAACCAATTAAGTTTTCATCGGTGTGAGACGGTTTAATTAGCTATCTATGATATTATTTTTTCCAACCTCTCTCTCAACCAAATTAAGGGTCATTATCAAGTGATATATGATCCGTTCTTCAATCATCCTTGTCGATTTGAATGGTACTCGAAGCAAGTGAAATAACTGCAAAGCTAGAGGTCAGAGGAAATGAAGGAAAGATCTTCCATTGTCAAGGAACAAAAAAATGAGTGATCGACTTCGACCAAAGATTGGAATAGGAAGAAAAAAGATCAATTGATTTCTTCAGTTCCCTGAATGAATACAAGGTTTCTGTTTCATGCTAATTAGTGGGTACTTATCGGCACAAGCAGAGCAGCAGACAACAAGATGGAGCACAAGTGATCATTTTGTATACACAATAATTCCCTTGTACATAAAAGCCATCCATGATTTTGTACATAAAATATCAATCATACGTCACGATTGTGTTGGGGCTATGAACATTTAGATAATAAGAAAAATAATTGATGTATAAATATAATGTAATAGTATAATCCATTATATAGAGTCAGTCAACACATTAGTGGTTGTCCTTGTCCACAACAAATTAACACAAATTACTGTATATAACCTGAACGAAGAAGTTGGCTCCAAACATCAGAGTTCTCCAACTTCCCCACTTCCCCTTAACCACCTTCCCCGATCATGATTAATATACCTAGAGTTAGGTGTAATTAGAAAGAAAGAAAAATAACTAAGAGAAAAAGGTATTGTGGAAGAAAAAAGAAAAATAATAATAACTAGAGACTCAAGTGGTGAGCACGACATGGTTCACCAGCATGGTACACAGCGCAAAAGAAACCGTCAGCAATATCCCAAATTTCTTCAGCATCACCGCTGCCGATCCCTGCTTCCGGATGCTAATCGCCGGCGACGGAAACTTCGTGGCACTCTTCCCGCCGTCCGATTTACCCGCCAGTCTGTTACCGTTGATCTCTCCCGGCAGAGACAAGCAGTGGCTGAAGACGGCCAGCGTAACCAGAGTCAACAAATCAGCGGCATTTCCGGCGTAATGAGTGGTGGTTGTACGGTCGGGGCTGGGATGGTTGAGCTGGATCTTCACGGTCTGGAACGGGACCGACTGGTGGAAGAACGTGTGGGCGGCCTGGCGCGTGGAGACGGACAGCCTGTGGTTGACTTTGACTTCCTCCACCACCTCGTCGAAGCTCGGCGAACTTGCAGTGTTGGTGGACGGGTCGTCGCCGCCGCCGATGAACCCCAGGTAATTGTAAACGTCGTCGTTGTCGTTCAAGAACCCGAGCCCATCCTTATCTGCAGCCAAAAAGAAGTTATAGAAAGGTTTGAGAATGTAAGAAGATTGAGAGAGTGATCTGGGAAGATGATAGCTTGTGGCGTACGTTACCTGCTTCAAGGCCATCCTGATTATTGTAGTTCTGGGACGTGAAACTTGTGATGCTGGCTATGGGAACAATCTTGTTCTCCCCAGTAAAATTCTGTAATTTGCGGAAAACAATATTATTGATGTATATATTATTATAATATTATATATGCATGGGGGCAGGGATATGGGTGGATTTGGCACCTTGTTTAGTTGGTGATTTGACATGCCCATCCACCTCAAGTTCTCCGCCACGAAGTGATGATCTCCTCCGTCCACGTCACCAATCTCTATATTTCTGGAGCTACTGATCTGCCCATCCAACCACGACGACGACGACGACGTGAAGGCGAAATCGTTGTTACCGTGATCAGCCGCCGCCGCCGCCAAGTGGTTCCCGCCGAACCCTGCCGCCGGGAAACTGTTGTATTGCTGGTTGTTGTTGTTGTGTATGAGCTCCTGAGAGGCGTGAGCTACGGAAAGTATCTCCTGCAGCAAAAGGTCCGAACCCCCGCCGCCGCCCCCGCCGCCGCCCTCATATTGATTACTATATTGATGACTGTAATAATGGTGGTGGTCGGACGCCGCTCTTTTCGGGTAGTCCTCCACTTCCAACGGCGGCAGCGTGAACCTGTGCTGCAACCTTGCGCATTCCAATGCTATATCCACCTGCATGCCCGCCCATTTTTTAGCTAAGGATTCCAACCTTAATTACTCGTGGAAATGGTTGTCACGCCGGCCGGTATGCCATCGGTTGAACCTGGTTCAACCGGTGCCGGTCATGAAACCGGCATGATCGATATACAAATTTTTAAATAAAATGACCTCATTTTTAGTACATTTAAATACGAGTACATGTAATTTTATTTGAAATATCACATTCTATTGAAATATCAATATGAATTGTACGTAAATTGTCTTCAAATATGGTTTATATATGATTAGATTCATTTCACAGTAATGGTTTTTTTGACAGTTCTACATATTTTATTAACCGATATAAACCGGCACAAACCGGTTGTACCACTGGTAGAACCATTTCACTTGGTAAATCGGCGCGACGGTATAAACCGGTTTGACTTAATTAATTTAACGTTACCTTGGAGGGAGGGTAATTGGGGATGGACGACGACGAGGATCCGTAAGGAGAAGGGAAGGCAGCAGTTTGGAAGGTGAAAGGATCCTGCTGCAACTGCATGGAGGAGGAAGTAGTAGTATTGGTTCCAGCTGCTGCCCACGGAGCCTGAGAGCATGATGTGTCCACGTACGCACCGGCGGCGTCGGAATAAAGCTCCATGCTGCCGGACGACGGCTCACCGACCTGAAGATGGTGATTCATGGCGGAGGAGGCGTAGTTGATTTTGGGAGCAGTGGGAGGCGCCGTCTTCTTGAACACTCGGCACAGTGCATATGCGTCCTGTACAATTAATTCAATATATAATAAGAAGAAAAAAAAAAGAGATGATACGATGTCGTATTCTTAATTAATGAAAGGAGGATGAAGAGAGAGAGAGAGAGAGAGGTCGTGTTCGCACAATGAATGCGGCATGAGGTGGGACCTGTAAGCCAGAAGCAGCCGGGGAGTCGCACTCTCGCTCGTCGAGGCGGTACTCGTGCATGACCCAATCGGTGCGGGAACCATGAGGGGCGCGGCCGCGGTAGTACACTAGGGTTTTCTTCATCCCTACGGAACGCATCTGGGAGTTCACCTTGCGATCTTTGCCCGTAGCCTTCCAATACCCTGATTTCGTGGCCCGGTTCGTTCTCGACCCGTTGGGGTACTTGCGGTCTCGTGGGCTGAAGAAGTACCACTCCATGTCTTTGCTGGGGAGTAGAGATTTTCCTGTCACATTTAGTAGAGATTTGCTTTAATTCCCACCCAAGGGCAAATGGCTACTTTTTATTGTTTGCTATAACAAGGTTAAGAACAGAATTTAAGAGTCTACCCATAAAAAGAAGGAAAAGCATGCATGTATATATATAACCAGAAGCTTAGTCAGTACTACTTTCTTGTTTTCTATTACCAAGTTAAGAAAACAATTTGGTGAGTTGGTAATTATATTGCAATATATATAAGCCAGTTAGTTTTTGATAGATTGAAATTCATCAAGTTCCCGTATCACAACACAAAGTGGGAAAAAAGATAAAATAATTAATCCTTTCCTTTGAAAAATGAGCACATAGAGCCTACATATGTACCCTATCACTATTCTTATTTTATTTTATTTTAATGAATAGCTGATTGCAATTTACTGATCGAGAGAATGAAGGAAAACAACACGTCTAATGCTATTCCATATATAACGTGGGCAAGGAAACTTTGCCATTTGTATATTCGTTGCTTGTAAAAAGCAAAGTTGGAGTTGTGAAACACAAGATAGAACCTAAACTCCAAGAAAAAATAAATGACGAAAACAAACAATTCCAGACCCTGGAAACCCTAAAGCAGCTGACAGGAAACAAGGATCAAATGATTATCATCAGTGGTGGCCTCAAGACGCGCTTTCTATCTTTCCCTCGCTCTCTTTAACCTTTGTTTTTTTTTTTTTACTTGACAAAAAATGGATATAGATAGAAGGAGATGGAGAAGAATGAGGGAGTAATTAGGGTACCTGGTAAATCCCAGGGCTCGCACTTGTAAAGATCAACTTCGGGGATGATCTCCAGCTCGATCTTCTGGGCGTTGATCTTCCTCTTGAGGTAGTACGCCACCAGCTCCTCGTCCGTCGGGTGGAACCGAAACCCAGGCGGCAATGACACCGGAGCCATCGATCTCTCCTTCTCTTTCCCACGACCCGACCGCCGGCGTCCAGCAGATAATGAGCTAAGCTGAGCAAGATATGGATGATGAATTGAATACAAAACAGTTACTAATGGCTAATCAATACTGATATATGCATAAATGAAAGCTGCGTGGTGGTGGGTTCGCGGCCCAATAGATTCGTTATGGATGAGAATAAAGGCAAAGGTGTCATAATGGAAAACCAGCGCCGTGCCTGCATGCATGAGATGAGATGAGAAGAGAAGAGAAGATGCAACTAATTAACCCACCTTTGGGGATTGAGGAAGGAAAGAGGAGGAAGCGAGAGAGAAAGGGAGGAGAAATGAGGGCGTCGGTTGGGGGTATTTATTTTAATTCATGAGAGGAGAAGAGAAGAAGCGAACAAAAAGAAGCACCCCGGCCAAAGGTAAAGGGAGCTGCTCAAGGGGGACAAAAGGAGGGAGGAAAAAAAGCAAAAGTAGGGTGTTTGCCGCCCGCCCCTGCCCTAATCTGGCTTTTTGGGGTGTTGGACTCCTTTTCATACTTCTGTGTGTTGCTTTTTTGCATCTTCTTCTTTCCTTTCCCTTCATCATTAGTTGATTCTCTTTGCCGTTCTCGCCAAGCTTATATGCTTGTTTCTACGAGGAGCGAGCATTTCTATATATTTTTTATTTGGTTTTACACCTTCCAGATCTTTGTGCGCAAGGGATTATATACCTTTTCCCATCATACACCTTCATCTTCATGGGTACGAAAAACATCTATACAATTTGCAATGTGGGCGGACAAAAAAAATTGGAAAAACAAATACCAAAATTATGAAATACCGATAAAATATGAATTTCCAAATAATGAATTCGAATTATAGCTATGTATTTCAATACATGTATTTAAAATACATCTATCCAAACACACTCTTAAAGAATTCCGCACATGCAACTTTTTATTTACGACATTTTTAAAAAAAATATGATTCAGTACTACATGGATTGATCGATTGATTATTTGTGATGGGAGTTTATGTAAGAACGTTGATGTCAAGATGAATTCTAGTAGTTGACTCACTACATACGATGAACGACTATAGGAACGTTTATTCTAGTGACATTGATGACACGTATAAATTACTATTTTAGATCCCTTTATTATGGTTAGAATTGCATGCTTTTCATATATTTATTGTCTTAATCAATTGAACTTGATTAATAATATCTAAAGTTGTGTTTTAGTTGCTCTATGATCACTTTTAATATTTCAATTCACTTTTGGTAGTTTTCATGTGTTTACATACCATAGCATCCTAGTGAACCACCTAGTACGAGTAGGAAAACATCAAGGCCGGACTCCTGGGAGTCATAATGCGAGATCATATCGAACTCGGAAAATGGCATGAAAAGCAGTCGACCGTAACCTAAAATGATGCCATGGCTGCCGATTTGGAGGGTCTAATATAGCCCAGAATCTAAAGTAATATGACAAACTTGGTGTCCAACAAGAAAGAAACCACATGGAACTTGGAAACGCGTGTTGACCTACTTTTCCTATAACATCCTGGTCTTTGAAACCTTTAAATGACGGGTGTGCTCCCGAGCATATTAATTTTTTTTTTTAGAAACGAATAACTTGTTCAAATAAACTGAAATGATACGACCATGGCTTAAAATGAAGCCCTATACTTGGGAAATTGTCACTACTTCCAATCTTAAACTTTAATACTTAAAAACGTGGGAGTTGGAGTTACTCACCACCCTAACAAACTTAAACTCTCGTCTACTTTCTAAGTAACCTGCTTCCTTTAATTAACTTAAAGTAGGGCCCCTACCTCGACTTAGCTTGGCGCAACTACTAGCCTTACTTACTTAAACATGGCTACTCTCACAATGGGGTGCCCCCTCGGCTGAATTATGACCACCAAGTTGCGTATCATCGTCTGGTGTCAAACTGTGGTATGCGAACCGCGTTATGTATCGCTCCGGTTGCATATCTAAAACTTGAAAATGGAAACTGCGTTACACGTCGTCCAGTTCCATGTCTGATCAACTACTACATTTAGGTATAGTCATCTAGTAGTAATCCCTCGTGATTGTGGCTAGCTAAGCGAGGTTATTGATTAAATTATTCTTTCTTATTACTTTCTCTTGCTCTTCTCACCTTAACTTATTTAACGGTGAATACTAAAAACACTCGTTCTTTGATAGACCAATAATTACACATGTTTTCACCCCATTCTGAAGCCGCTTGAGATGTGGATTCTAGTGTTTTAAGCCGATTTCACGCTAGGGTGTGTGTTTATGTTATATTTCAGGTCCCGGCGTTGGAATCGAGGCGGAGGAACGAGTTCTGGGTCGAAAGGAGCGAAGTTGAGACAAAGTAAGCCGCAGGAGGAAAATACCCGGTCAGGTGGCCAAATACCCGATCGGGTATTCACTACTTTTGGGCGCCCGAGAACCAGAGAGGGGCCCGGGCAGAATGCCAAAATCCCCGGTCGGGGATTACAGAGGGAGACCGGGGATTTTCTCTTTGTTGATGCGCGCATTTTGGATAATACCCGGTCGAACCCCAGAATACCCGACCGGGTATTTCGACCGGGTATCGCGATGGCAGCTGATAAAAGGAAAAGAAGGCCAACTTTCAAAGGGTTCCGAGTTTTTGAGAGAGAAAGCGATCCCTAGAGAGAGAAAGCGACGAACCAGAGTTCCCAAGTGCCATAGCTCGATCTTCATCACCATTGGAGCCCGGCTTGAGCTTGGAGAAGTGCCGATTAAACGTCCAGGAGCAGGAATCCATCTTCACAGTATGATTTCCGCGTCTGAATCTGCTTTTGCTTCTTTCTCTATGGAGTAGTTCCCCCATTCATCTAGGTATGGGGAACCCTAGATTGGTATGCTAGGTCTGATTGTATGAACCCAAGTACAGAGTTTGTGAATCGATTATATTCGATTGAGGTTTGAATGATTGAATGACTTGAATCCTGATCAAATTCCTGTTGTTTCTGCTTTGACCTAGAATGAGAATATCTGCCTAGGTTGATAGAGTACCCTTAATCGAAGGTGGCGAATTGGTGACTTTAGTCGAGGAGCCAATTCGCTATTCTGTACCGAATCCAATTCGGTAGTGGAGGTTTGGTTCGCTAGGGCCTCAATCTGTTTACTCCGGTGGAGGTTAGTCGCCCGCTAGAGACTCAGATTGAGAGGGTCTGAAGACCTTTAGTCGAGACTTCAGGCTAATTAAGAACCTTCCGCAGTATAACTTTCATGAAAACTGAACTTGGTAAATTGCAATCCGACTTAACTGCAGTCTAAGGGGAACCATATCCGGGTGACCTCTCTTGACTTGACAACAACCGTTTACTTGCTTTGTGTTTTTGTTTGCTTGAATCTGCACTAAAAGTTCACTGCTAAATAACGAGAATTCACCGAGTAGTCATCACATCTAGGACCCGGGTTGACAATAAAACCCAAACCCGCTATACTACGCTTTAGGAAGTGGTTACACTTGGCCATTTTCTAGAGTGACAGTAGCAGTGAGTCAAGCTTAAATGTCATAGATACTTAAATAGCAAGTCAGAAACTTAAATCTTAAATGTAGATATTGAAATTCTCAAAACAATAAATCCAATGGAAACATGCATAATCAAACACAATCATAAATCAAACACACAACTTCACACAATGCAATTACTTAAAACACATAAGCCCTAGAATCCCTTAAGAGCAATGTTGTCACAACCGAACCGGAGCATGACCCGGTAACGTGAATGGCTCGAACTTTAGCGGTCCAACCAGTATTAGACCGTTAAAAAATCGTTAGAGAACCGGTATCTTATAAACGATAATATCATGAGTAGAAGATATATAGGTGGTAACTTAACAATTTAATGACTAAAAACAAATTTACCTTTTTAAGTATCAAGTAGTAATTTTACATATTATATAATTACCCCTTAAAGGGAAAAACCCTAACCCAATTCAGCGCCGCCCAACTCTTCTCTTCTTTTTTCCGAGAACCCCCGCCGCCCCAACTCTTCTTCTTCCTTCTTCTTTCTTCCGAGAACCCCCTCCTCCGCTGATCCAAACTCAACATTGAGGAAGAGCGTCGACGGCTCCACACGATGGGCGAAAGCCCCAACAATCGTCGAAGCACGGGCGGACAACGAGAAGCTGAAGGCGTGATCGGCAGCGAGCTTGCCTCCTCGTCGCGGGATGGATCTCTCGCCGGAGAACGAGTTGCAGGGGAGGCCGCCTGAGAGGGACTCGCAGAGGAAGGAGGAATCGGATGACAGGAAGTCGGCGTTGCACAGAGCCGATCAACCCAACATACTTATTTTTTTTAATAGCAACGGACCGGTTTGGTGTCAAAAACCGGTTGGGCGGTTCGAGCGGCTTGAACGGTTAACCGTTCCGGCCGCTCACAGACCGTCCTTTCCAGCCGCTCCGATTAATTGACTCTACCGAGCCGGCCTGGTGGTCGGGTGACCGTTTTACCGATCCGACCGACCGGCTCTGTCTTAATAACACTGCTTAAGAGACATTTCTTTATATCCTTTGACATGGAATCCCTTAATACAATTGCTCCCTTAATCCTATAAACCGAAATTAGTTTCCTTTTAGTTGGTATTCCTCAAATTTAGTCCCTTTAACGTACTGGAAAATTTCCCTCCTTAATTTCTTAGTCCCAAAAATTCTTTAAAATGACATTTAATCTCTTTCAAATAAATTTCTCAAAAGTGGAATTTTTTCCAACATTTTTCAAAACTTAAATCATTTCAATTAAATCAATAACCCTTTAAATAAACCTCATCAAATCCTCCTACATTTCCAAAAATTCATTTGCCATTAAAACTTCCAAATTATGTCTTCAAATAACTCAAAAAATTTATCAAAATTATTAACCATAAATCACACTTTAAGTAACCCTTTTTTCTATTAAATGTTATCATAAATAAATATAACAACCATTTCATGAACCCTTAAAACTATAGTTCATAATTTTATAACGTCTAACCATAAATTTATAAAATCATGAAAAGTACCAAGTCACTACTGGTGACGACCTTGCGTGCATTGCCTTTATGCCTCATATGAAAGATTGTTCGGCCAAGGTAATGCCCGAACCTCATAAATGGTAGGCGGATGGGGGTAGGTCTAGCATAACCAGAAGAAAATTCTAACCTTGAGTTCTTTGTAATCCTCTTCCATAAAGCTGTGAATATCCCTTGTTGTGATGATGAGTCCCAATAGCCTCCCAGGCTAGCATCATAAGAGCACCTCTCGTGTCGTATGGGGGATCCCTAGCTTCTATGCGACGCTATCATAACTGTTGGTGAAGCGCCTCCCCACCAACTGATAGGTGATGCATGTCTGGCAAGAGTTTCATGCTAGTGATTTGAGAGTGCGGCGAGAAACTCTCTA